GGTAAAGATGGAACCAGCAGCTTTGTAAAATGGTAGTATCTTAAAGAATTGTGCAGCCAAGCCAACCTTGTGGAATTGCTTATTGGCTTTTCAAAGTGGTGGAGTGTGGAGTGGTTGTGGTTTCTGTGGTCGGTTCTACCAGCGAAGGCCAATTTGTGAGCAGCCGCTGCGTGGAAGGTTCTGCGCACAGTTCCGGCGCGGCCCTAGGCAGTCTCCCCGTGGAGCAGCGAGCGCTGGGGCACATCTGTTGAATGACTGTCACAAAAGCTTCCCGGAAGGAGCTGCAGAGGTGGACCCTGGGTTTCCAGGAGGTTAAAATGCTGTCCCCGAGGTCTCACAGGTAGTAAGTGGTGCCAGGTCGGTCTGGATCCCAGACGGTCAGCTGCTCCTGCGTGCAGCGTCCCTCCCACGTCAGCTCCTCTTCCTGAAAGGCAGAGGGGGAGCTTTGCATTGCTGTTGCAATGTTCACATCAAAAGCCTCTTAGCCTCACTCGGGGGTTGGAGATAAACATTAAGTAAGTGTTGGGAGAATGGTAACAGGAGTCTGGAAAATCTTAGGTTCAGTGTTATCCCTCTGTTTGGCAGAGTCATTAGAGACGTTTTTGGATATTCTCATTTTCTCCCTTGCTTATGAGGTAGGGTTGCCCTTTCTTGTCCCCTTTGAAGCTAGGTAGGGCCATGTGGCTTGTTTTGTCTAACGAAATAGTAGCGGAAGTAACCGCTGGCAGAAGTTCCAGGCACCGGTGTGAAATGCACCACATTCTGATGTACTGCCTTTTGATTATCCAAGCACAAGTCCAGGTGGATGGCCCCGCTGTCTGGGCCCCGGTCCCCGAGTGACCTTGGGGAGCAGAGCCCCTGCTAGTTCAGCAAGGATGAGGAGGATGCTCAGCAAAGGACCTTCTGGTTGTGTTAAGCCACGGGGATTTTGGAACTCCTTGTACCTGCTGCGTACTCTAGCTCACTGTGACCGATTCAACACATAGAAAGAACGAAACATAGAAAGTAGAAATTCACCCTAGATTTCCAGTGGAGAAAATTATTTTGAAAATAACTCTTTAAAGCTTCTTGTAGGAGGCTCTTGTAACATGTCTCAGATATTTATACGGAAAGCCTAAGGAAAAGCTTTGCATGAAGCTTTGGAGGCCAAAGCAGTATTAAATTCACGAGATGATTAGATAACCATCTAGTACTATGGCATTATTTTTTTTCTTCTATATTTAAAACTTCTGCCTGCCAACAAATGTTTGTTCATGGTTCTTGCACTAAAGAAAACAGCTTGACATGTAAGGAAGGAGGAGGAAACTGGTGGTGGGGAAACCAGAGGACACACGAACGGGGTCACCTTTATCCGGGCAGCGCTGTGGGAACAGTAGCGGGGTTGCACTCTTCATTTCTGTTGCTAGAGGACCGTGTGTTAAAGACAGATCTTCAGTTACATCGAGGATCTGGTTTCGAGCCTGTAGCTGCTGGCTTCACCGACTCTAAACTCTGTTGTGCCTTGCACTTAGTCACTCAGTGCGGTGTCTGAAGTCTTTGTTTGTGGGTGACGGCTGGCACCCCTGTCTCACTCTACGGAGGGTCCACTCGTGTGTGACGAACGGAGTCATGGTTTCGGAAGCTGAGAGCTGTTGCAGCCTGACTGGAGGACATTTCCTCCCATTCCCCTCGAGCTGGAATAAGATAAATGGCAGTGGACATTGAGGAGTTTATGAGATCTCAGAAAATTTGTAAGAGTCACAAAGAAATTGGTCATCTGCCAAAAATTTATACTGCCTCGTTTCATCTTAGATGTGGCATCATCTTTCATTTGATATGCTACTCTTTGTTATGTTACTGTTTAAACATTTCTGTGTTATAAACTTCATTGAGGAAAAGAGAGGCATTTTCTTTTAAACGAGGGTCAAATGGTGATACACCATTTATTATTTGAATCACTAATAATTGCAAGACTTTTGTGCTTTTAATATTGAATAGTAATTTTCCAATATTTCAGTCTTTTAAGATTTAACATGTCTCAACTCATGTATCAAGAATATCAAAACTGCCCTCCCTGGCTGGTGTGGCTCAGTGGATTAAGTGCGGGCCTGTGAACAGAAAGGTTGCTGGTTCGATTCCCAGTCAGGGAACATGCCTAGGTTGCAGGCCAGGTCCCCCAGTTGAAGGTGTGCGAGAGGCATATGATCAATATATCTCTCAATGTTTCTCTCCCTCTCTTTCTCCCTCCCTTCTCCTCTCTAAAAGTAAGTAAATATAATCTTTCTTTTTAAAAAAGAATATCAAAATTTCCCTCACTGGTGTGGCTCAGTGGATTGAGCACTGGACTATGAACCAAAGGGTTGCCGGTTCGATTCCCAGTCAGGACACATGCCTGGGTTGTGGGCCAGGTGCCCGGTGGGGGGCATGCGAGAGACAACCACACATTGATGTTTCTCTCTCTTTCTCTCTCTTTCTCCCTCCCTTTCTCTCTCTAAAAATAAATAAATAAAATATTTAAATAAAAAAGAACATCAAAACTAATATCAACTTTAGAGATGATCTAGTTCAGGAATCCTTATGTCCTTAGAGAGGAATCTTTTTCAAGCATTATCTGACATGGTATCCAATACATAATGCAGATTCTTAACATTATAAAATTTTATAATTTCAAACATACTTATTATAGGGTCAATTAGTGAGGGGGGAAATACTATTTTGAACAATATAAAGACTTCATTTAAAAGGGCCTTGGCTTTCACTTTATAAGTACTTTGTTTCATTTGGCAAGTATTTGAAAATACTGAATTACATGGTAAGTAGCTGCAAGTGGTAACAGTTTTTATTAGTTTGTTTTACAAGGTTCACTCTGAATCCTTGGGAGACTTCAGTTTTACAGGACCGCAGAAAAGTTAATGTAGCAGCACAAGTTAATGAAATGTAAAACTGTTGAGCTTGACTGTTATTTTTTTAAAATCTAGCTTTAAGGTAATTAAAGAAAATCAAATAAAAAATGCACTGAATCCCAAAACCGCATAGAACAGCATTTGAAAACTACTAATTATGCTTTATGTAACAATATCTCTGTGGAGTGACAGTATAGATTCTGTTCGTACTATTTTTTTAAGAAATTGTCAAATATGGTAGAAAATGTGAAAACAGCTCTCACCAAAAAGGGTTAGGTTAGTGTGAGTAAATCTTCATTAAAAAATAAGTTGTGTTGTGGAAGTTTCAGAAATTTTTTTAAAATTTCCATTTTACACAATATTGAGTGGTTGCCAGCCCAGCCCACAAATTATTTATCCCATAAGTGACTGAGGTAATAATATTTAGCTATCTTTTTTTTATGTATGCACTTTTAAGTTAGTTGGTATTCTAAAAGATCCTCATGGCAATTTCCATGGGATTTTTAAAAATCTGATTTGTAGCTTTGGCTGGGTACTCCTTTGTATAAAATACACCCACGTTTTGGGCCTGAGCTTTCAGGAAAAAAATCTTTCATTTTAATTTTTGAACCCAATTATTTATTTATTTTTTATATTTAGAAACAAAAGTGGTTATCATATACCCTGGTATTATTTTGCATACAGGTATCGCTGTTGCTTTCTAGAGTTATACCTTTAACACATAAGCATAAATAAAAGAATTAAAAACATTTATATAGATATGGGATTAGTACCAACCTATGTATAATGTGCATCTTTATTTTTTCCTCAAAAGTTTGGGCAAAAAAGTGTAGATTATACACAGCAAAGTACAGTATTTGGTTAGAGTATTCTCCAGATATGCCAAGGTGGTGGGTCTGATCCCTGGTCAGGGCACATACAAGAATCAACCAATGCATGCATGCATGAATAGGTGGAGCAACCAATCAAAGTTTCCATCTCTCTCTTCCCAAACCCCTTCTATAAAAATCAGTTAAAAAATCTGATTTGCAGCCCTGGGTTGGAAACTTTCTCTATCCAGTCCCACTGTGTGGTAGCAGAGAGAGTGAGGGACTTTTATTTTCTGGTTGGGGAATTTTTATCCTTGCACAAAAGGAACTGCTGCCTCCTCTTTGAAGAAGAATCATAGATCCTAATGTTAGAGAGGAAATCTGAAGATGCCCTACTTAGTTCTGTGCCTTCACGGGCATGGTTTTGTAAAGCTGTCAAAGAGGAAACTTTTCCAGAAGCAAACGTATTTTGTGCTACTTTAGCATGCTGGATATTTAAAGGAACCCTGTGGCAAACACTTTGCAAGGCAAATGCTCCTCTAAGATGGCATCTGGGTAAAGGGAAAGCTCTTGGAGCTTCGAAAAGCCTCAAGAAGTCAGCTGCACTCTCCACACTGATGAGAGTGATCAGCGCAATGGGTCCTCCTTGAAGACAATCCCAGTCTCTGCACAGCCAGTGGCCCCAGCCCCCTGTGACCCAGGGCACCACCATGTGCCCTGATTACCTTCCACTCGGTGGTGCCAGGCATTCCTCTGTGGACTGGCAGGCCTCTCAGAGTGCCGCCGGCTTCACATGAAATTCCCTACAGTGATTAGAGGCTGTTGGGCACCAAAGTTAAATTGAGAACTAAAAATGTGAGCACACTGGCCTGTGGTTTTCTCATGCCACTTCCAACTGATGAGTCTAGGAAACAAGTGCAGCATGAGGATTGCTTGTGGGTTTTGATGTGGAATTACATAAGCAATTGTTATGTGAAAAAATACAGTAAATAAGACCCTGGGTTCAGATTGTGAACCCGCTGTATGCTTGCATGCACAATGCTATGGAGAGACTGAATTAATTGATTACCCTAAGCTTGACTCTGAAGGTTGCTGGGAGGTGTGAAGGTAACCCCTTCAAAGTGTGTTACCGTAGCATGCAGTGTGTAGTGGGTGCTTGGTCATTTTTATAATTTTCATTTTCAATATTACTATTGTTTTGAAGTCTTATTATGCCTAGGGAATATGGCCAGATAAGGTTAATAAGGAGGAGTAAAGAAATTCTGGCTTCCAATGCCCTTTCTCCACCCGTGTCCTATCCCCTCTGCAGAATGTGACAAACTGCGGCGGGATGGCTGCCGGAGCTCCCAGTACTACTCCCAGGGCCCCACCTTCGCCGCCCCCTCGAGTGCACTCTGCAATGAAGACCAAGATGAGGATGAAGAAGCAGATCAGAAGGTAAGGCTTCTCAGCTCAACGCAGGATCCTGGGTTGCATCCTAGGACAGAAAAAGGGCGTAAGTGGGGAAACTCATGAAATCAGAACAAAGCCCATTTTGGTTTTTTTTTGTTTGTTTTGTTTTGTTTTGTTTTTTTGATTTCTTAGTTTTGACAAGTGTACCATGATGATGCAACACACTGACACCAGGGGAAACTGGGTGAAGGATACATGAGAAACTCTCACTCTCTGTGACCTTCACCACCATTCACCGTGTCACGATGTGACGCTGAGGCTTCCAGGATGGGCAGCCGTCAGTGGTCATTGTGTGGGACCAGGCATGTCCCTTTATCCTTCCTCCATGTGTTCTTCAACAGAGCTACTTTAAGTCCAGGAGTATAATTCATTTTTAAAACAAGTATTTATTAAGCATTTCCTATATGCCAGGAACTATTCGAAGTGTCTGGTGAGACACCAAGGCATCACTGAGGCAGACACCGAGGTGTTTGGTGAGGCATCATTACTTCTTGGTTAGAAGCATTAGAAAGTGACATGTGCTCTGCAGTAAAACCAAGCAGAGTAAGACAGAGGGGAGGTTGTGACTTTAAGTGAAGAGGGTAGGCCTTCCTGAGCCAAGAAGTGATTGGGGTTGAAAGGGTGAGCCAAGCAGAAGTCTTGGAGGAGACCATTCCAGGATGAAGAAGCAGTCAGTGCAATAAATGTTTCATAAGGATATATGCCACGTATCGGATTCTGCAATGTGCAAACATAATGTCTGTAGTTGCCTCAAGGAACTTAACGGCTCTTGTGTAGGGACAACTTACCAGAATAAAAAGTTTTTATTGTGCCTTGCAGATATGCTTTTTCTTTAAAAAAAAAAACACACAACTTTTAAATTAAAGGTTTCTGGCAACCCTGCCTCAAGCAAATCTGTTGGCATCATTTTTTAAACAGCATTTGCTTACTTTGTATCTCTGTGTCACATTTTGGCAATTGCTGCAATATTGCAAACTTTTTAATTATTACTGTATGACTCGTTATCAGTGATCTTTGATGTTACCAGGGCAAGACCCTCTACCAACAAAAAGATCCCAACTCACTAAAGGTTCAGGTGATGGCTAGAAAGTATTTTTAAATTAAGCTATGTGAATTGTTTTTTATAGAAATAATGCTACTGCACACTCAATAGACTGTAATGTAGTATAAACATGCCCTTTATTTGTACTAGGAAAGCAAAAAAAATAGTGTGACTTTCTTTACTGTGGTATTCACTTTATTTTTGTGGTCTGGAACTGAACCCTCTCCATCCCTCACGTATGACCGTGTGTCGCCTGCAACAACAAGCAGTCGTCAATAGTGACGTGTGGAAGAGAAATTCTTCTGACTCGAGCAGTCAGGAAATTGAGGGAGGTTTGAAGAGGGCAGGGTATTTAAGAAGAGGAGTTATAGGGCTATTGCAACAGGCAAGACATAATGAGAACCTAGGCCAAGAGAGTGGCTGTGTGAATGGTGAGGAGGGGGAAGCTGAGAGATGACGGTGGCGTTTTCGCAGTTAGGAGACAAATTTCGAGTCTCAGCTTGCCACTTGCTTTCTTTGGATGTATCAATTGGCCCCTCAAGGCATTCATCTCCTTATCTAGAAAGAGGGGAGTGGAATAAGATCTCTCTCTGAGATCTTTTCAAACAGGCTGTTGATTCATTCATTTACTCAATAAATATTTATTTAGCATCTCCAATATGCCAAGCATCACTGTAAGTCCTGAGAGCCCGTCAAGTGAAAAAAACAAGGTCCCTGCCACCCAGGGGGAAATGATGGTAAACAGACAAATACACTGTAACACTATGGGGTGATGAGTGTAACGGAGGAAAAACAGAGCAGCAGTAAGGAGAATTAGAGAGTGACAGGGCTGCTCTTCTAGACTGAGCTTTGGGGAAGGACCCTGTGGGGGCGCCATCTGGGCAGACCTCAGAAGGAAGGGGAGGAAACCACACAAGAGTATCTCTGGGAGGAGTTTTCTCGGAAGGAGAGATAGTGAGTGCCAAGGCCTGGAGGCGCAGTAAGGCTGTCCTGTGGGAGGAATAGCCAGGGACCTGAGAGGCAGGCGGTGAACTAGGGGAAGAGAGGCGGTAATGACTTTGGAGAGAGAACCAAGGGCCAGATCCACGAGACCTAATCAGGCACAGTAAAGACTTTAGATACATTGTTCCTGGATGAGATGGGGAGGACCCGGAGGGCTTGAGGTGGAAGCAGCTTGATCCAATTCACCATCGAATGCACTTAGTCTGCCTGAGGACGCACTGGATGGAGACCAGCCTGGAGAGAGTTGAAGATGGAAGCTGAGGCAGGTCAACAGGTTATGGCAGTAGTCCAGGCAAGATGCAGATGGTAGGGGCTGGGGCCCAGGCAGCGTCACGGAGAGTCTGGCTTTCTTTTAACAGCACATTCTACAGAGCTTACCAAAGTTATGAGAAAAAAGCTGAGTCAAGGATGATTTCATTGATCTTTCCAGCTTAATTCCTCTAGAATCCCATTACAGAGATTGTTTGACCCCTAGAGGAATTCAGACCCATTGACCCCACCCTCTTCATGCCCACAGTCGTCCTTCCCCAGCGTGTGTACTGCACGGCCCACCTTTTGTCCCCTTCTTTGTACACACGGTCAGTTCTGCTGGCCCCTCTCTCCTTCTGCCATTTTCCTGGAGAAATCCCAACCCCAGTTTGATCCAGCTCTCCCCCTGCTCTGCCTGAAAGTCTTACTAACTAAACAAGGCCAGAGAAAAACACCAGGTTATGTTAGCTAGTCTCACTGTAAATCTAGAACCTCGAACCTGAACTGCTCCCCGTGAATCCCACGGTATTAACTCGTCAACTTACTCTTCCACTTTCCCAAATTACTTGTGTACCTCCTTCCTAAACCTTCAAACACGACTTCTTTGCTTCCCTCTCAGTGCTGTCTTAGATATTGCACTGGGGCGAGAGTGGGGGAGCAATGAGAAGTCACATTCTTTCACAACCAAACCTATTAAACTGCTTGCGTCTGTCTCTATGTCTACTCACCTTTTCCTGCCATTGCGATGGGTGAACAATCCTCGCTTATTTTCTGCCCTATTGTATCCCAAGCGCCCAGATTAGGGCCTGGCACACAGTAAGCCCTTAATATTTTTTCAGTGGAGTGATTAAGGCCAACCTCTCAACAACTTCATACCTACAATTTACCTCTCTGTCTCTTTTGCCCAGTCATTTTTCTGTCTTTGTTGTATCCTAACCATCATTATATAAACAGGCTGTATTGTCCCTCAGCTTGAAGAGACCCTCCTTTGACCTTTTATCCCCCCCAAATTCTGCCACATTTTTAATGCCTCTTTTTAATAGAACTTCTCCAAAGAACTCTCTAGACTTGCTGTCAACACTGCCTTTCCTCACAATCTCCTTTGAACCCCCATCAAACACACTTTTATCCCCAGCACGCTACTGAAACTACTCTTGTTAAGTTCACCCATCACCTCTCCCTCGCCAAATCTAATAGTTAATTCTCAGGCCGCTTGTTACTCAACCTCTCAGCAGTATTTGACATAGTTTATTATTCTTTTCTGCTTAAAATACTTTCTTTACTTGGCTTTCATGAGACCACACACTCCGGGTTTTCCCCCTTCCTCACTCCTCACTGGCCAGCCATGTGCTTTTCTGTCTCTTGCTGGTGGCTGTCCTTCTATGTCTCAGACACCGGTGTAGCACTGCGCCTCTGCTGCTCTGGAACAGACTCACTCCCTCCGTGATGTCATTGCATCTCATGACTTTAAATTCCATGTATTGAAGTTTCCTAAATTTCTGTCTCTGACCCAGACTCATGCACTTATCTGTTTGCTGTCCATCTCTACTTAAATGTCTTATGGGTATCTTAAAGTCATTCACATCCAAATATGTGGCATCCTTCTTCACAAAAACACTATACAGCCCTGGCTGGTATGGCTCAGTGGACTGAGCACCAGCCTACTAACTGAAGGTTCGATTCCCAGTCAGGGCACATGCCTGGGTTCTGGGCCAGGTCTCCAGTTAGGGACATGTGAGAAGCAACCACATACTGATGTTTTTCTCCCTCTCTTTCTCCTTACCTTCCCCTTTCTTTGAAAATAAATAAGTAAAATCTAAAAAAAACACTATACATATCTGTTCCTTTTATACCATTTCCCACCTCAGTAAACCACAACTTCATTCTACCAGTTGCTTAAGTCAAAAACTTGGGTGCATTCTTGATCCCTTGCTTTTTCTCGTACCTTCAGCAAATTCTGTAGTGTTACTAATGATTGAACCACTTCTAAAACCTCAATCCAGGCATCATGTAATGATTAAGGTCAGCGTCTGTGCCTGAGAGTGGGTGGCAGGGGCTTGCTGGAAGTGAGGGTGAGAAGGGTTGGAGCAAGTGTTGGACGGAACACCTCCGCGGCTGCTGAGTTCACCGAGAGTTTGTTTAACAGCAGTCGAGGTGAAGGGTCACTGCAGTAGGATCACAGTGGGGCTAAGGGAAGGAGTTAGCTTTTATTGCACAGTTAACAGGAAGTCACTTAATGCATTTTTTAAGTAGAGGATTTTACGATTAGGAATAAATATTGTATATATCATCTTTTGTTAAATGAAGATATATAGATAATGTTAAAACTGATTTTCTAAATTGCATAACATGTCAAACTTGACTCTGGAACTTTTAGCAAGGAAACATTTTAACAGACTGTTAGAATTCTATTTAAACAAATGGAGAAATCTTATTAAAAATTACACCAAATAGATTTTTAAAAAAATGGTAACTGTGTGAGGCGACGCATGTGTTAACTAACCTTATTGTGCTAATCATTTCACAGTATGCACATATAACAAATCATCACATTGTGTGCCTTAAACGTACACATGTATGTCAGTTATATCTCAGTAAAGCTGGGGAAAAAGTGGAACATTAAAAAATATACATTGAGCCAAATTAAAAAAAAAAATAGCAACCCCAGATGGTTTCATAGAGAGAGGGAGTT